TGCTAGTGAGAATGCGGAACAATTCTTACTCATGGCTGGTGGGAATGCAGAATGATACAGCTATTCTGGAAGTGGGTAGTTTCTTAAAAAACTAAACATGCTTTTATCATATGATCTAGCAATTGCACTCTTTGGGATTTAACCAAGTTGAAAATTTATGTTCCCACAAAAACCTGCACGTGAATGTTTACAGTAGTCTGCTCATAATGGCCAAAGCTTAAAAGCCACCGAGATGTCCTGCTCTAGAAGAATGGATAAACGAACTGGTAGGTCCATATGTTGCAATATTATTCATCAATAAGGAGAAACAAGCTAGCAATTCATGAAAAGACATGGAGAAACTGTAAGTGATATTGGGAAGTGAGAGAAGCATTTCAGGGGTTGGGGAGGGAGGGAGCCACGAACAGGTGGGACACAGAGGATTTTCAAGGCAGTGAAACTATTCTGAGTGATACTGGAATGGTGGGCACAAGTCATTATATATTTGAATTTGCCAAAACCCATATAACGTACAACACAAAGAGTGAACTTTAATCTATGAACTTTAGTTAATAATAATGTATCTATGTTGGTTTATCGATTATAGCGAATGAATCACAATAGTACGTGATGTTAATAAAAAGAGGAAACTGAGGAAGAGGTAAGAGGAGCTATGAGGGCACGCTGTATTTTTCACTCAATTTTTCTTTAAGCCTAAAACTGCTCAAATATAACCTCTACTCATTAAAAACAAAAAAGATCCCATGCATAACGTTCATTGGCTAGCTCTTAATTCAGAACATAATTTTTCTAAGTCTTTCTAAAATCTGCTTGAATGCTCAAATTTAGATGAAGCTCATCGTGGCTAATCATAAGTTTTAATAGTTTGACAGAAGAGTCCAGAGTTCTTACTTGGGCAACTGTACTTACTGTTAAGTCACCACAGTGTCATTATGCCAGCATTTTCCAAATGAAAAACTCAAGAAGTGTTAATCCTACAAAATCATCTTGGAAGAAAGTTTCTGTGGTCAAATTAGGGAAATACGGCATTAACTGATATTCCTGAAATTCACAATGCATGTGGCCATATTAATCTTCTAGAAGTCCTGTCTAAAAGAAATCTAGCAACTGTGTCCAGCCCAGACCATTTCAATTAATAAAG